GAGGAGGATGAGGAGGAAGAGAGGAGGAAAAGAAGCAGGAGGGGGAGGAGGAGGAGGGGGAGGAGGAGGAGGAGGAGGAGGGGAAGCGAGGAGGAGGAGGAGGAGGAGGAGGAGGAGGAGAGCCAGAAGCCTCTTGAATGCCCCTCGGAGTCTCCGCGGATGTCGCTTGGAAGCTTTTTAGATGCCCTTTGGGACGTCTAGGGGGCATCTTGGCGGGGCCAGGGCCGCCTCTGAGCGTCTTGGGTGTCTCGGGGATCCTCTTGAGGTCTCTTGGAGGTCTCTTGAGGGCCTCTTGGAGACCCCTTGGGCGCCTCTTGAGGCCCTCTTTGGGCGCTCTTGGGGGCGTTAGGAGCGCTCTTGGAGCCGTCTTTAGAAATCGATTAAGGGGCGCTCTTGGAGCGCTCTTCGGCGCTCTTGAGGCCGTCTTGGAGGCCTCGTTGGCCCCTCTTGGAGCCCTCTTGGGCCATCTTGGAGCCACCCTAAGGTCTCGGAAGGCCATCGGAAGCGAAAAGGCGAGAAAGCAAACACCATTGATTTTCCTTAGGTGTTGGACGGATGTTGGCTTCTTGGCGGCCTCCTGGGGAGGCTCCGTGACCATCTGGAGCCGTCTTGGCGCGTTATTGGTGCTTGTTGGAGCATCTGGGAACCCATCTTGAAGCATCTTGGGCTATCTTGAGCCATCTTGGAGGTCATATTGGGCTCTCTGAAACGCTCCTGGAGCCTTCTTGGGCATTCTTGGACGCTCCAACCCCTCGCGGAACCCCCCGTTCAAGTTCAGAGGAGGGGGTCAGGGGGAGGGGTCAAGACACCCCCAAGATAGCAAGTCGTCTAGCTCACTCACACCCGCCCTCCCAACACATCTGTAACACCCGAGCCTGAGCATGTTCAGCAGTCGCCTTTCGATGAGCAGCTACTGGGAACCAACACCGACCCTATGTGCGCGACGCTGGGGCGAGGTGCGCCACGCGTGCCAGGCGCGCTACGCGCGCCAGGCACCCCTGGGGCCCGAGCGTGCCTGGCACGCCTGGTGCGCCAGATGCGCCACGTGCTCCGCCTGCGCCAGGTGTGCCGCACACTCCAAGCGCGTCGTGTGCGCCACGTTCGGAGCACGTGCAGAGTGTCTCGGGTGCGCCTGGGCCCGTGACAGCACACATCGGTAAACGTGTCGACCCCCACCATCCTTGTCGAAAACCAGTGCCTATCACTGTGTCTGGTGGGCCTGCGCACAGCAGGCCATACTGGCCATACGCCACCACCCCCGCCGTCCCTGTAAAAAACCACTTGGCAGTGATCGCAGGGCGGCCGCGCACTATCCAGATTTTGCCGCGGTGTATCTTTTCTTGTTGGGGATTGTAGCCCTGCACGCAGCCAGCAATATGCTGACACCTCCGCCGTTCCTGCCAAAAACGCTACAACGTCCTGGTGGGCCTGACGAACATGATTCAATTGTTCGCCCCAAAGTGTACTTTGTATTGTTTTCGACTGGGATGGTGTGGGGGGGGGGGGGGCGCATCAGGTTGGCCGCGCATGCTCCACATGTGGAGGCAGAGTGCGTTTGGTATTGTATTTTGACGGGGGTGGTGTGGGGGGAGCATGGTTCCTGGTTGGCCGCTGGTCGCCTGGGGGAGGGAATGTATATGAATTGGGAGCAGTGATAAACCCCTCTCCGAAGGAGAAGAAGGGGATTAGAAGAGGAAGCGCTTTAGACCACCTACGCTCAGAGGGCTGGTGGGACTTCAGTTGGTGTGTTCCATTTGATGGTATGTTTTTTGTTTTTCACATTTGGGCTTGAACCCAATGCTTGCAGCGCTTCAACATGCAAAAGCCATGAGCGTCTAATTTTCTGTCCAGGTATAGCTGTTCGAAGTGTCCAGAGCCTGGGCAACAAGCGCTGACAGAAACAAGCACACAGTAGAAACGTGATCACACATCTGTTGAACACTCTGGACGTGTGTGGCCAACTCAAACGCATGCATGCGCAGGCTACATGGGAACAGCTGTGATCTGGCCCTGCCACACCTGGATCTGGCTGTTTTTTTATATTTTAATTCAGCTGTAATTAATCTGGGTCCTACTACAGATGATCCAGCTGTACACTGGTCATACGGCGCATGGGTACACCTCTATGGGATGCCACGACAGCGATCCAGCTGCAAATGGGACTCGCCCACACGTGGATTCACTGTCGACTCGTCCTACTACACAGTGTCCCAGATGTGTACGGATCATCAACAGCACTGTCCCGACCTGTGGCGATCTTCAGCTACAGCTTTGTCCCGCTGTATTGGGGTCTTGTTATTCCTGAGCCCAGCTGTGCCATCCTCACTCTATACTTTAGCAGCGATCCTTGTCCACCTGGGTCCAGCTGTATAGAGATCGAAGCACGCCTGGATCCAGCTGTAGACTGGCCCTACCACACCAGTGCCAACATGTACACATCTTGAATTACACTTTAACAAAAAGCCTATCAGTCCTACTACTGCTGGCTCCAGCTGTTCATGAATCAAGCTTCAAGTGGGTCTTGCTGTAGAGTGAGCCCACGGTGAATGGACACACACACACACACTTGTTCGTCGCATCCTTCCTGTGGCCCCCGTGGCCCAAGCAAGAGCGCCCAGCTTTCATCATCATTGCGATCTTTCGGACGTGCCATGGCTAGCTACTATCAAGATTCAGACATCCCCTGTGGCGCACAATGATCCACGAAGCACGCGCCGTAGGTAGCATCGAGAGTGATAGCGCCTGTGGCCACCCTTTCCGAGACGACTACATCCAAACTTGTTAAGTGTTGTTGGTATCCAGGGAGCGCTGCGTCGGCCCAACAAACGTCAACGGCAAGTCGGCCGGCATCGGCCTCCTCTGGCCATCCGTGCCCACAGGACGCCTATGCGCATCCAGTGCCAGACAGTGTTTCAAGAAGTACATACTTTCTCAGACTCCATGAACACGATAGCGTCCACCATGTTTCAAAACGTGATTACGTAAGCAATGTCCGAGCAGCTAATTGCTGTTGGGCACTCAAAAAAGTTGTTCTTCGTAGCCGAAACTGGTAGTGGTGCCGCCGCCTACACGGGGACCTCAATATCGTGGACGTGCAAGCCATGGGCTCTGGACGCTTAGCTCTGGGACACCGCGCAAGCCGCCTCAGCGGGCGGCACCGTCATTACTTTCTGGGGACACGCTGATTTTCGGACGCGTTCCCCTAGGGAGGAGGAGGAGGAGGAGGAGGAGGAGGAGGTCAGACTTGGGCCCAAGCCGAGCGCACGGCGCTAGCCCAGAGAGATTGGTCCGATCGGCCGTGGGCGGCGATTCCAGCTCGGGCCGCGCTCGGGCGAGGCACGCGGGCTGGCTTGCCCGAGCAAGGGGCCAGCGCGCCGGCGTTGGCCGCGTATCAGAGGTAACATTAGGGTTAAGTCGGGCCTGTCCCTCTACAGGAGGAGTCTTCAAGCATAGTATAAAAAACAACATGTCTGGGGACGACTTTTGTTTGCTATGTTTGGCTGTTTTGGGATTTCATTTTTTAGGGGGGGGCTATTTTGGAGTTTTCTTTTAAGGTCCGCCTGTAGGGGGACATGCCCGACCTGAGTCGGAGCGTTCCACCCCCCTGAGCCAGTCCCCCTTTTCACCCCCCTTTTCGCCCCAGCCGCTGGCGATGTAGATTAAGAGGCCGCACGGGCGCCGCCGTTCCCGCAAAGCGGAGATTTCAGGCGGGCAGTATTTTTCTTCGCCCACGCGCTGCGGCGTATGGCATGACTGACTGACGGAGCCAGTCCCCCTGAATGCTCCCCCTCACAGTGGCCGCGAGGCGCTTCGGGCGCGCAGCACGGCGCAGATGGCGCCCAGAACCTCGGAGGAGGAGAGGATACCGATGCCGCTGCTGGATTCTCCTCGGACTCGAGGCCGAACGCGAGCGCGAGGACGATAACCGCGAGCACTGGATGCCGAGGCCGTGCGTGCACGCTACGATTGGCCTTAGAACGATAACGTGCGATGTGGCGCCGCCAGCCCGCTTGTTACACGCTGTCCACCACCTTGGGGGTACCGTGCACCAAAGCAGCACTGGCAGGGATATAGCGTGCACAGAAGGGGCCCTCGCGGGGGGATCGCCTCACAGGGACAGCGCTCCTTTCGGAGATCGATGCTGCACGCCATCTCCCCAACGCGAGCCGCACACCTCACGAGAACAAAGACACCGCCGAGAACGCAGTTATCTCAAGAGGAGGGTGCCCCGAACCACCCTGCCTCCCAGGCCCTGCGAGTGCAGAATCTGCCCATCTCCTGTCTCCTCCGCCTCGAGGGGGGCGGCACCCGCCTCCGCTGGCGCGCTGGCGGCGCCTGCGCCGCTGCGGCCACCTCGACGGCCTGAGCTGTTGACAGTGCGCTTCTGGGTGCATCAAAGAGATCTCGAGGGGGACCGCGTCACCAGCCGGCCCCCCTGGACGAGGGACGGGGGATCTGCATCCATCGGTCGTTCAAAGTAGGTTTGTTTGGATTCCCAGATTCCAATCTACCTTAAGCGCCTTCCTACTTCAATGATCGAGTGGCTTCACCTTTTCCGTCCTCCTTAGGGGGCGGATGGAACACAAGACATGTTCAACGCCTTCCTACTTCATGCTTGTACCTACTTCTTCCGACCGACGGGTAAGAGCTTCTCTGCGCCCGCTTGTCAAACGCTGCGGCCCATGCTGAGAAATCATCATTGCTTTCCAGGGGCCTCCATTCCTGCTCCGTCACGCGTCATCTGCATGCTGTCTGCCGCCGTTTCCATCATCGAGTTCGGCGTCAACCGCTAGCGTCTGGCTGTCAACCGCTGACGTCCAGTAGGGGTGCACTGCCCGCTCGTGATTCGCAGAACATGTTTTTCTGGAAGGCCCTCTGCTGTGCGCGAGGGGACATTCCCCCCCGCCATTTTGGGGCGTCCAGCGCCACCTGAGCCCGAAGGAAGGCCAGTGCCCAGTGCGCTTTGGCGTGATGGCAGCAGCTGCCCCCCCTGACCACAGGAGCGGGAGCGCGAGAAGGAGCGGGAGCGCGACCGCGAGAAGAGGAAGGAGAAGGACCGGGAGCGCGAGCGCGAGAGGAGCGCCTGCCTGCCTGCTCCCCGGGGGGCGGCCGGCCGGCCAGGGGCGGCTTCCAAGGTCTGCGCCGCCCCCTTCCCTTCAGCCGGGCGCGCCCCTCTACAGGAGGAATATTGCAGAATTGTCAAGCACAGTCTGGGGACGGCTTCTGGTATTTTTGAGCATTTTGTGCACAGTCTTGCATATGTTTGGGATCTTGTCTTATCTTTCGTCCAGAACCCGCCTGTAGAAGGACATGCCCGACCCGAGGATGAGTGAAGGAGGGGGGGGGAACGCATCGGCCACCGATCGCCCATGGGTCGCCGGCGGGGGCTCGACGGCCCCAAGCTGCCCAGGAGCGTGCGGCTCGGCCGTCGGGGGCATGCCGCCGATAGAGGGCCACATGCGAAGCCTACCCGCACCCCCCACGATTTCTCAGGGGGAGGGTGGGGTTCACTTCGCTCGGGAGCTCCCGAAGGAAGTGAACCCCGCCCTCCCCCTCAGAAATCGTGAGTGGTAGGGGTAGGCTTCGCATGTGGCCCCCTAGCCGATCCACGGGCGATGCATCGCCGACTCTGGCTCGATGTTTTCCCACCTGGGGCGACCTCCCTATCGTTGCCCATCACTCCTTCTCTCCCTCTCCCTCCGTTCCCTCCCTCCTGTGCTCTGTGCGCCGTGCCGTCCAGCGACCTCGGGGAGAGGTATGGAAGGCCTCGTCCTCGCGCTCTCCCACAACTCCTCCTTGCCCTTCCTCCTTACCCTGCGCTGGAACGATGCGACCAAATTCTTCTGACACCGGCTAGGGACCACGGGCATCTCCCGCCTGAGTACTCCCCTCCACACGTCCGCGCGCCGATTTCGACAGTAATCTCTGGGTCGAGGGCGCTAAAAACGCCCCTACCCTGGTCTACGAGGCGCTGTGCGCTGAACGTGCGGCGCCCTGGCGGCTCTCTAGGCTTTGGGCGTTCCCAGGGGGTTTACAGACCACGCACTTGTAACCCAGGGTACGGTAGGTTCGTGCGGCGTTGGCGGGTCGGCGACGCAGGCGAAGGCGTTCCAGGTTTTATTCTGCGACGCTGAAGCACCGATGGACACGGTAGCGCCTCTGGATCAGGCTGAGTTCAACAATCAACGGTCGGGGCCGCGATTGATTCAAGGTTGAACGATCGACGCGGTGTCAAAAACCTATGCGCGCGCCGACGCCGCACGAACCTATCGTGGGGCCGCTGTTTTGCATCCCTCACTGAGGGCTTCCTGCCCACCCTCGCTGGGCCCTGCCCCTCTCGGCACGTACGAAATGGGTACGGAAAGAAGGGGTACAATGCCCAATAGCAGTTCCTGTTCATTTTGAACAGAACTCGCTGTCCGCGCAGCCGCGGCCTGTGTCTATTTGACAGAAGGCCGCCTGCCCAACAGCGGCCGCAATTGTGTTGGGACAAAATTAGTTGTTGGGCCTTGCGCACATTTTTTCCCGTGCCCATTTCGGGCGTCCAAACCCTCGGCGCACACCGCCGCGCTTGCTTTTGCTTGCTCCCCCTCCTCCCCCCGCAGCGAAGGGGGGCAGGCGAGGCGGCCGCCTCCGGCGCGGAGCCCGGCGCGTGCGGCAGCACGGTCGGCCCCGGCGGGCGGCGTGCTGCGGCGGCGCGCCGCTGACGCGCCGCCTGGCGCTCGATGGTCCAGAGGTCAGTCGGGCCTGGCCCTCTACAGGAGGAAGATTCGAAAATAGTAAACAATTAGTCTGGGGACGACGTTTTGACTATTCGTGAGCATTTTCGGGTATTGTTGTTGGTGTTTTTTATTTGTTGTCCAACATCCGCCTGTGACAGGCCCGACCTAACTCTATGGTCCAGGGCCGTTGGTCAGGGCCCCGTGGCACCAGGACGTTGCAAACCTCGGAGAAGAAGCAGCTGCATAAGCATATAAATTTTCGGAGCTCCGCGCGGATTTCCTGGGCCGGAGCTGGACCCCCCTGGCGGCGCCTCTGGCGCCGCCACCGGCGATCTCCGCGCGCCAGGGAGGGGTGTCCAGCGCCGATCCAAGAAATCCGCGCGGAACTCAGAGAAATTATGCGTATGCCCTCTTCTGTTCCCCTGAAGCCAGGACTTGGAACATTCCGACTTGGAACAGTCGAGATGTGCAGTTTCGAGCCACGGCTGCTGTTTTCTCGGGCGCGCCAGCGTCCTGTTTTACTCGAGTCCCCGTTGAGGGTGAGGGCCTGACCTGCTGGCGCATGCGATGAGCAGCGGCCGTCTTGGCAGCCCAACTGCTCGAGCCCTCGATGGCCCAGAGGACCATCCACGAGGTTGCCGTGCACACCCAGGCTGTACAGACTATGAGTCTCCATACTCTTCTGGTGCTTCCCGGTAATCAGATGACGGCGTTCTGCGTGCAGGATATCTCGAGCTGGAATACCAGCACCGCAGCAAAGATCAGAAACGCGTCAGAGCTCGGCACTTTCAGCGTCGCAGCAGGAGACACAGAAACGTCAACGGAGGCCAGAGCGACAGAGGGGCATGCCCAGGAGCTGGCAGACAGATTCGCGCCGGAAGCCCGCGATGAGGCGGTGAAGATTATGGATGTAAATAAGAAAGTCGGTCCTTAATCGTGAATGGAAGCGAAATGTTTGGAATGGTTGCGCCCTCGTCTGGCCAGCCCCTGCAGGCAGGCTGAGCTGTACTGGGTTTGTGTTGGGAGCATGTCGGGGCTTTGTTGGGAAATGGTGGAGGCTCCTTGGTGCATGCTGTGGCTTCTGGGGTGCAACGTCGGAGCCATCTTGGGCAACATTGAGTCGCTCTGGCGCCCCCCAGGACCTCCCTGGTTAAATGTTTCGGCCTTTGCGCGACACCTTGCACGATCTTGGGAAAATTCCGGGGCATCTGGGAGCCTAGGCTTCTGTTCCACGCTGTGCTCTCCTCCACGCGCCTCCTCCTTCTCGTGCTCCTCTTTAAACTACGACACTATCTCCGAGAACAAGCGCAACGACATCACCTCCAACCTCGTGAACCAGCGCGAATACATTGCACCAGCAGCCACGATCAGACGACAAACGGTCAGCTAAGCAATACAGAAACACAAGACATTCCACCAGCAGCCACGATCAGACGACAAACGGTCAGCTAAGCAATACAGAAACACATCCGAGAACGAAAACGCACCAATCGACGACAGCAGAGAAGCACGGTCCTACAGAAGCACACGGACCTCAAACGGATCAGTTCCGTCAAAACGAGAAGAGCAGCCGGAGCACAAACATATGCATACATACATCTGTGTGTATATATATATATATATGTATGTATAGATCCCCGTGCACGACGCCCGGGCGCCCAGGGCGGCTGCCCCGAGGGGGCATGGGAGTACCGGGGCTCATGTTCCTTGTGTTTTTATAGGGTTTCCGCGTCCCGGGCCTCGGAGGCCGCCGCCTACGACCCCCCGTGGGAGGACGGGGCGGCCGGGGAGGTCCAAAATAGTCCAGGAGGGCCTCCAGAGGCTCCCAAGACGGCCCAAGCGGGCCCCGAGTCGCCGAAAGACCGCTCCAGGACGCCCAAGATAGGCCCAAGACGGCCCGAGAGGCCCCCAAGGCACTCCACGACGCTTCAAGACGCCTCCCCAGAGCGCTTCCAGAGGCCGAAATCGTAAATTTTACGACGGTTTTCGAACGATTTTGGCCTTCCAGCCTTTTCGGCTGTCCGACGTTCCAAGACGGCTCAATAGGCCCCCAAGAGCGCCCCAAGACGGCCCAAGAGGGCCCCGAGTCGCCGAAAGACCGCTCCAGGACGCCCAAGATAGGCCCAAGACGGCCCGAGAGGCCCCCCAAGGCACTCCACGACGCTTCAAGACGCCTCTCCAGAGCGCTTCAAGAGGCCGGAATCGTCAATTTTACAAAAAGGTTTTCGAACGATTTTGGGCTTCCAGCCTTTTCGGCTGTCCGACGTTGCAAGACGGCTCAAGAGGCCCCCAAGAGCGCCCCAAGACGGCCCAAGAGGGTCCCAAGACGGCCCCAGAGTCGCCCAAGACAGCCCAACAGAGCCCCAAGACGGCCCCAAGATGTACCCAAGAGGGGGACCACGACTCCAAAATTCGACCCTCCCGCTTGAAGAGTGCCCCAGGAGGCCCCAAGGAGCCCCCCAAGAGGCCCCAGGAGGCCCCCAAGAGGCACCCAGGATGCCCAAACGAGGCCTAAAGAGGCCACAAAACAGCCTCGAGGAGGCCCCACAACGGTCCCAAAACGGCTACCGAGAAGCTGCGAAACTGCCTTCACGACGTCCCCGACAGGCCAACCACGAGATCCAAAGCAACACCCACGAGGCCTCTGACCCACCACCCAGGGCACTGTGGCGGGAGCAGTGACAGCACTTGTGCACAGCATGTTCCGGCGGGAGCCTTCCAGAACACGCTGCAGGAGGAGGAGGAAGATCAGGAGGAGAGAGAGCTGGAGTGGGAGGAGGAGGAGGGGGACGAGGAGGAGGAAGAGGCCTCCAAGACAGCTCCAAGATAGCCGAAGAGGCTTCCAAGAAGGCACTGGGCGGCCCACGAGGGCCCCAAGGCGGTGCCTGAGGCGCCCAAGAAGGCCCGAGAGGGCCCCAAGACGGCCCCAAGAGAGGCCCAAGAAGGGAAACACGAACTGAGAATCCGAGCTTTCAATCCCGAGAGGTTCTCGGGAAGTCCCAAGAGGCCCCCAAGCGGATCCAAGAGGCCCCCAAGAAGCTCCCAAGAGGGCCGACGAGGTTCCATGAGATCTCCCAAGGTGGCCTCAAGAGGCACAACTCATTGTTTTACGATTGGGCTTTGACGGGTTTCATTTTTTTCAGCCTTTTGGCATCTCGATGCTCCAAGACGGCCCAAGAGGCTCCCAATACCGCTCCAATATAGAGGAAGAGGCCTCCCAGAGGGCCCCAAGACGGCCCGCGAGGGCCCCAAGACGGTGCTTGAGGCGCCCAAGACGGCCCGAGAGGGCCCCAAGAGCCCCAAGAGGGGCCCAAGAAGGAGAACGCGACCCAACAGCAGAGCGTTCCCCCCAAAAGGTCCACAGGTGGCCGCAAGAGGACCCCAAAAGCTTCCCGAGGGCCCAAAAGGTTCCTAAGAGACGTCCAAGAGGTTTAAAATAGCCCAAGAGTGCCCTCGATGCGTCAAAACTGCTTCTAGGAGGCCCCCGGGAGGCTTCCGGATTGCCTCAATCTGGCCGCAGGTGGCCTCAAGTCGGGCCTCCACGCAGCCAAGACGGCCAATGACGGCTTCACATTGCAGAACCCATGCCCCCAAGTGACCCTCAGACGCCCCCCCAAGAGGCACCCATCAGGTGCCTCCAACAGCCAGTTGACGAAGCATGCGGAACACCCCAGAAGCTCCTCAGATGCCGTCGCGCGCCTGTGCTTGATAGCGTTGTCCAAGATCGTCCAGCGCCCCCCCGGCCTGGGCTAGAACCTGAGCGCGCGCGAAGCGCGCGCGATGGTTCTAGTACAGATAGATAGGTATACATACACATGTCTGTAGTGTTGCACCATGTGTACATACAGGTTTGACATGTTTGACACAAGACACGGGTCTTGCGTGTATCCAGTTGCGCGCTTCGGCTTGAAAGACGCGCACGCTCGTCGTCAAGCTTTAGGCAGTTGTATAGATCGGGGGCGATTGGTGGCCCGCGTCGTTCGGGTTCTGCTTAAACGGTTCTCACATCTCCACGCAGGGTGGCCGTTCAAAATGGGGCTCTTGCTCGAGGATCCCAGGTGTGTGGTTACTACGAAGTTTCAATATGTATACCAGTTGTACGAGTGAAGATGACGAGGAGGCGGGGGCGAAGGAGTAGGAGGAGAAAGCGGAAATGGGAGGGCGTGACGAAGCAGGGGGCAGGATGATGAACAAGCGAGGAGGAGGACATGATGATGATGCTTATGATGCTGAGGATGATGATGATGATGATGATGATGATGATGATGCTGATGATGATGCTGATGCTGATGCTGATGCTGATGCTGATGATGATGATGATGATGATGATGATGATGATGATGATGATGATGATACTGATGATGATACTGATGATGAGGAGGAGGAGGAGGAGGAGGAGGAGGAGGAGGAGGAGGGAGAGTGCAAGGGTGTGAGGAGGAGTTGGAGGAGGAGGGGTTGGAGGAGGAAGGGGGAGGAGAAGGTGGATGAGCCGCCTCTGCAGGAGTCGCGACAGGGACAAGGAGAGGGACCGCGACCGCGAGAGGGAGAAGGAGCGCGAGAAGGACCGCTCGACTGCTACATCTCCCCCTCCAGGGCACAAGGAGAAGCCCTTCTCATCGAACGGGGGACATGAAGAAGATGATGGACCGCATGCATCCGTGATTGCGGTAGGAGCGGCCCCTCCCAGGGCCCGATGGGCATCGCAACGCGCCCGTGTGCAGTGAGATCCCAGGATCGTGCACTCCCGTCTGTGGTGGCCCCCGTCGCATGCCGTTTCTTCTTTCCTCCCTTCTGATCTTGAATGTGAGTCTTGCTGTCCCAGGGTATCCCAGCCCCTCCTGAATATTTCTCCTCCTCTTCCTCATCCTCCCTTCCTCTGTTCTTCCTCCCGCGGGCTCGACGCAGCACCTGCGATTCTCAGCGACTCTACGAGAGGACCCACCACTATAACCCCGGGGATGCCTCCAGGCACACCATTACCCGGCGCTTCCTCCCTCTAAGGAGGCCGCCGCGTTGAACCACGCGGGCTCCCAGAATACAGTGCTACACGATCTCCCCTACTAGACTCAAGTTGGGCACGTCCCTCTACATGAGGAATATTCAAAGATAGCCAAAAATAGTCAGGTGACGATTTCCGATTATTTGTTGACAATGTTTGACAAGTTTTTTGCTATTTTTTGTTCGTCCTAAATCAGCGTGTGGGGGGACATGCCCGACCTAATGTTGCTATATTTCCCCTAATAGAGGTTGGGGGGGGGTAGCTTGGGTGGGGGCTCGCGCCTGCGAAAATGATGCCAAGGCAATTTCCGCGCCGGCGAAAAAATAGGAGCCCAGGGACTGGCGAAAATGACGTCGGCGTCCCCATTGGCATCACGCGGCGCATTGCGCGCGTGAGTACGCGCGCGCACGCAAACGTACAATAAATTACGCAGACGCCGCAAACTCACAAGCACACGCATGCACACACGCACAACCGCCCGTGCGTGTGTGTGCGCGTGCGTGCATGTGCGCGCGTGCGCGTGCGCGCGTGTTCGCGTGCGTGCGTGTGCGCGTGCGTGTGCGTGCGTGCGTTTGCATGCGTGCGTGTGCGCGTGCGTGTGGGCGTGCGTGTGTGTGTGTGTGTGTGTGTGTGTGTGTGTGTGTGTGTGTGCGTGCGTGCGTGCGTGCGTGCGTGCGTGCGTGCGTGCGTTCGTGCGTGCGTGCGTGCGTGCGCGCGTGCGTGCGTGCGTGTGTGTGTGTGTGTGTGTGTGTTTGTGTGTGTGTGCATGCGTGCATGCGTGCGTGCGCGCGTGTGCTTGTGTGTGTGTTTGTTCGTGCGCGCGCGTGTTGGTGTGTGTCTGTCTACTTGCATGCGTGCGTGCGTGCTTGTGTGCGTAGCACCTCCATCTGCTGCCCGCGCCTGAGGGTCCTCTGCGCCGCCGACTTAAAAATGTATGTGTGTGTGCGCGTGCGTGAGAGCCTGAATGTGCGCGCGTGCTTGTGGGTGTACTGCGCGCGTGCGCGGGCGCTTGTTCAAGTGCCTTGGGTTGGCGACGCGCGCCCGCGCTCACTCGAGCACTTAGCCCAAACACAGGCGAAAATTAAGCAGCACTCTCGTCGGGGCCGGCGAGTATTCCGCCCCAGAGCCCAATACCGGCGAACATTTGGTTGGTGGCCAACGTCGCGTGCCCTGAAAATTTCACCACCCACAGACTTGCGGGGAAATAGAATACTTATCAGGGCCCGTACCCTTCCCACTACCCATGAGCCCCACCAGTGCAACGTATCCCTCTTCAGCGAGGCCGCGTTTGACCAGTCCCACTTGTCCCACAAGTCCCGCGTTTCCTTTTTCATGATCGAAGGGCCTTGGCCTTGGGGCGCGAACCGTAGTTTCTTTTTTCCTAACCATCCTGTGGTGTTGGGTCCTCGTTTTGAAGAGACGGTGCCCCGCGTTCCCCTCCTTCCTCTCCTCCTCCCTCCTCCGGGGGTGTCCACATGCGGTTCCCCCACCCAGGGCAGCGTTTCGTGGCCCCATAGGGAGCTCCACCGAAGGCCCCAGTGGGGGTGTCCACATGCGGTTCCCCCACCCAGGGCAGCGTTTCGTAGCCCCATAGGGAGCTCCACCGAAGGCCCCAGTGGGGGTGTCCACATGCGGTTCCCCCACCCAGGGCAGCGTTTCGTAGCCCCATAGGGAGCTCCACCGAAGGCCCCAGTGGGGGTGTCCACATGCGGTTCCCCCACCCAGGGCAGCGTTTCGTGGCCCCATAGGGAGCTCCACCGAAGGCCCCAGTGGGGGTGTCCACATGCGGTTCCCCCACCCAGGGCAGCGTTTCGTCCCCCACCACATGCGGTTCCCCCACCCAAGCGTTTCGTAGCCCCATAGGGAACTCCACCGAAGGCCCCAGTGGGGGTGTCCACATGCGGTTCCCCCACCCAGGCAGCGTTTCGTGGCCCCATAGGGAGCTCCACCGAAGGCCCCAGTGGGGGTGTCCACATGCGGTTCCCCCACCCAGGGCAGCGTTTCGTAGCCCCATAGGGAGCTCCACCGAAGGCCCCAGTGGGGGTGTCCACATGCGGTTCCCCCACCCAGGGCAGCGTTTCGTAGCCCCATAGGGAGCTCCACCGAAGGCCCCAGTGGGGGTGTCCACATGCGGTTCCCCCACCCAGGGCAGCGTTTCGTAGCCCCATAGGGAGCTCCACCGAAGGCCCCAGTGGGGGTGTCCACATGCGGTTCCCCCACCCAGGGCAGCGTTTCGTGGCCCCATAGGGAGCTCCACCGAAGGCCCCAGTGGGGGTGTCCACATGCGGTTCCCCCACCCAGGGCAGCGTTTCGTAGCCCCATAGGGAGCTCCACCGAAGGCCCCAGTGGGGGTGTCCACATGCGGTTCCCCCACCCAGCGCAGCGTTTCGTGGCCCCAGAGGGAGCTCCACCGAAGGCCCCAGTGGGGGTGTCCACATGCAGTTCCCCCACCCAGGGCAGCGTTTCGTAGCCCCAGAGGGAGCTCCACCGAAGGCCCCAGTGGGGGTGTCCACATGCGGTTCCCCCACCCAGGGCAGCGTTTCGTAGCCCCATAGGGAGCTCCACCGTAGGCCCCAGTGGGGCTGCCCTCATGCGGTTCCCCCACCCAGGGCAGCGTTTCGTAGCCCCAGAGGGAGCTCCACCGAAGGCCCCAGTGGGGGTGCCCGCATGCGGTTCCCCCACCCAGGGCAGCGTTTCGTGGCCCCACAGGGAGCTCCACCGAAGGCCCCAGTGGGGCTGCCTGCATGCGGTTCCCCCACCCAGGGCAGCGTTTCGTAGCCCCATAGGGAGCTCCACCGAAGGCCCCAGTGGGGGTGTTCGCATGCGTCTCCACTTCCCAGAGGTACCGCCGCCGAAAACGATATTCACATTTGCGGTATTCACAGTTGCATATGGTTGGGTCCTTCGCCAGGCTAATTTTATAGTTTGCAGCCCTCGGAAACTTGTGGCCGTAGCTGGTTTGGCGTTCCATCGTTTGCGTCCTTTTCTCCCCTTCGGGGAAGGACTAGCACCTTCCCCCCTGCGTCGCCGCACTTCCCCTTTGCCTGTGGACTGGATGCGATTGGCAGTCGGGAGCGGTGGCCCCCTTCGGCCAACCGCGGAGGCAGGGATGACTCACATATGAATGTCCGTTCGGGTGGGGGCTCGGTCCAAGCGGGCTATGCGCCTAATTAATACAATATCCATTGGCATAAGCCAATCCAACGCCTTGTGGGATTTGGGGAGGGGGAGCTCCACCGAAAGCGCCAGTAGCAGGGTTCGCATGACGGCCTCGGGCCATTTCGGCACACCTCTTACAAGGATCGTGGCCCCATAGGGAGCTCCACCGAAGGCGGCCATTTCGGCACACCCCTCAGAAGGATCGTGGCCTCATAGTAGCTCCACCGAAGGCCCCACTGGCAGGGTTCGATAGCGCGGACCCATGTCTTGAGTTTTTTGCCGCAGTAATCATTTATTTTTACATGTTCGTAACCAGGGCACCTCAGTAATATGCTTCCCAACCCTCCTGCGTTGGGTTCTCGTTTTGAATAGAGCACTGCGGTCGCGCATCTTCTTCCTCCCCCCGCCCCCTCTCCCCTTCTCTCCCGCCTCTCACCTCGCTCCGTCCTGCGCGCCGGCTCGCCTCCTGCCTGGCCGTCCTTGGGTGGGCTGCGATCTGCGAAACAGTTGCCGGTTTCGAGGACTGCTGTGGGGTCCAGCGGAATAGTGTCTTACGCGGACTCAATTTCGACCTCGCATGGGGGTTGCGATCTGCGAAACCGTCGCCACTTCCGAGGGCTGCTGGGTGGTCCAGCGGAGCGACGTCGTACGCTGATTCAAACTAATCATCGTCATCCTTGGGGTGGCTGCGATATGCGAAACTGTCGCCGCTTTTGAGGGCTGCTGCGGGGTCCAGCGGAGTAGCGTCTTACTCAGACCTAAATTGTTGTCGCTTCGCGAATCCCCACCAGCCCATCCAGAAACGATGCCCAGAGGAATTGCCTCGATCAGAGAAGTGGGCAGCACACAGAGGAAGCCATTATGAGACATCTTGGGATATCTTGAGCCATCTTGGAGGTCATTTTGGGCTCTCCCAGACGCTCTTGGAGTCATCTTAATCCGTGCCCCCCCCCAAGAGGCCTCCATGTGGCTAAAACCTGTGTAGAATCAATGATTAGGCATTCTCGCCGAGGCCTCTTGGAGCATCTTGGGTGCATCTGGGGGGGCTCTTGGGGCCTCTTGGGGGTCTCTTGGGGGCCTCCGGGGGGCCTCTTGGGGGCCTCTTGGGGCCATTTTGGGGCCATCTTGGGACCTCTTGGGGCTTCCTGGGCGCTTCTTGGGGCCATCTTGGAGGAGATCGATCAAACAAGAGGGGGGGTTTAATTAGCGTCCCCCCTCGGAAGCCCCTAAAATCGCCTCTTGGACCCCTCTTGGAACGCTCTTGGAGTGCTCTTGGGCGCTCTTGGGGCCGTCTTGGGGCTCTTTTGGGGCTCTCTTGGGGCCCTCTTGGGCCATCTTGGAACCATCTCCAGGCCTCGGATGGCCATCGGAAGCGAAAAGGCGAGAAAGCAAAAATCATTGATT